TCTTTGTTTATTCGTTGTAAATTAATGGACTGTGTATTTTGATAATATCCTATGTACGGAGAATAAGAATTTCTATCACCATCACCATCGGTTTCGTGTACTTCATTAGAAAATTTTGGAACATATCCACTGTTATTTATTGAACGTTCTTCTATTATCTGTTCGTATTGATTTTGTCTAGTAACAGGAACATTAGATCGATTCATTGAAAAGGGTTGTGGAGATCCATTATGATAAGGCTGTTGCAGATGCATTATTGGTTGTGAAGTTGCATGTGATGTTATCATTGGATCGTGTTGATTTTGTCTGGCAAAGGAGATAGGCTCAGAAACAGCTGCAAAATTATTAAAATTATTGTAAGAACGTTCTGGTGCAGTTATATTAGATTTATTAATTGGTAATTGTGATATTGCAGGATCTTGTTGATTTTGTTTGATGAAAGGGATAGGTTCAGGAACGGCAGCCAAATTATTATAAGGACGCTCCAGTGCAGTTTCATTTGATCGATTTGGTGGAAAAGGACTTGGCTGAGGAGATCCATGATTAGGATAATGTTGTCGCGGATGGCCCATATCTGACAATATTGGCTGCGAAGTAGCTTGCGGTGGTATTATTGGGTGTATTATTGGGTTTTGCTGATTTTGTCTGATAACAGGAATAGGTTCCGAAACAGGCCCTAAATTATTGCCAAAGCGTTCTGGTGAAATTACGTTAGAATGGTTCATTGGAGAGAAATTGGGTTGAGAAGGATTAGGAGGATAAGGTTGTTGTGGAGCTATTATTGGGTCGTGTTGATTTTGTCTAATAACAGGAATAGGTTCTGAAACTGGTCCAGGATTATATCCAGGATTATACCCGGGATTATATCCAGGATTATATCCAGGACTATACCCAGAGTTATTGTAAGACATCTCAGAATTGAGATGAGGTGGTATATCATTAGGATGAAGTTGATTTGAATAATCAGTCGTGTTAGAACGGTATAGAGGATTCTGATGAGGTTGACCATAATTAGGAGCGGCAGAGCTTTGAGCATAATTTGGTGTACCAGTCTTCGATGCATAAGGTGGTGGCCCAACCGTCATTGGATCTGGGGAATTTGACCGTGTCATGTCAGTCGAAGGTATAAAATTGTCTGAGTATGGCAATGCTGAAGATCTGGCGTAAGGTGGAAGTGAAGGATCACTATCATAAATTTCTGGAAGTGTGGGTCGAATAATGGAGATAGGTTTTTTCTTTTTTTTGTTCTTTTTTACATCCTTAATACGTTTTTTACGTTCTTTTTCAAGAAGCTCACCAATTCTGAAAAGATCATTAATGACTTTAAGTATTTCATATTAATAATAAAAATAAAATAAAAAAAAAAGGACCTAACCTTTTATCAATTTTGTGACAACAAAATTCCTTCAGATTACCTCTGATTATAAATATCAGCGGTATATAAAGAAGAGCAGCAATAATAAGCTTAAATGCAGAAAAGATGAAAATAAAGAGGGAGAATGCCATCAAAACCACCACAAGACGCTGGACAGTATCATCACCATAAGAAGTAATATCATAATATTTTTTCAATTTACTCAATGAAGCGAAAGAGTAAAGAGTAATTGCACTAATAGCTTGACGAGGAGCCTCAGCAAGAAGAAGACGTTTCCAACCTATTAAATAATATAAACGAATGAACGTTAATTTATTATTAATGCAGAAGAAAATGAATATAATACATAGGTAATACCTTTAAATGCAAAGAATACAAAAAAGGCGATTTTATCAGTACATTTCCTCGAGTTATTTATTTTAGAGAAAAAACAGTAATATGAATGACCAGTTAAAATATAAAGTTTGTATGCAATTCCATTTGTGAATGCGAATGAAATATCTCTAGTCTTTCGTATAAAACGAGCTTTCTTAATTTCCCATAATAAAAGAGCAAAAGACATAAATATACAGGTGACAAAGATCCATTTCGAGACAGAGAAAGGAATTGGAGGTTGAATTGAATTGCTCCAATGGTCAAAAATGAGTAAAATTCCAGCGGTCCAAATATCGGCAATATGGACAAGAACGGATTTTAATATCATAAGCATGACGAAAAAATATCCTATCCATGATGAACAAGTATGTTCTTCAAACGAGTCTACGTCAATAAAGTCAAATTTGTGGTCTTTGACGTGCTCTCTTTTCCACTTTGCGGCTGAAAAGCACATGTTAAATGTTCAAATATAAATATATGAAAATTTTTTTTTTTCAGTTACTAGTAAATTTTTGATTGTTGATTCTTTGTTCTTCTATCTGTTTTATTGTGTTTATTGAGAAAAAAATTTACATTTCTTAGCTAAGAAGATTATAAAAGCTGAAATATGAGAATAGGTCCAGCCAGTAAATCTATAGGTAACTAAGATAAGGAAAGGTTTGTCTTGTTAATTAAATAAATTTTTAGTCGGAATGCCTCTCTAAGATTTAATCAGCATCATAAGACTTTGAAAAGAACGAAAGAATATAGAAGGAAATGATCGTGGAAAGTAAAGATAAGGAAAGAGCACTAGTTTGACATAGTTTGAAGCAAAAAATAAGTTCAAATCCCACTACACACCTTGTTATCTTAATTTTCATCGAGGTGCAATTCATTTTTGTGTTTGAATTTACAAACATAATTCATAGCGGTTGTACCGTTTAACATTAATGCATACTTTTTGTTTTTTAAATAATAATTGCATTTAATACATTTAATATTAGTGTAATTGTTTTCCTTCACTACAATTACGTAATCAATATATTGTGAAATTAAGCTGACATTCACGACCTCGCGTTAGCAGATCACTGCATTTGAAAACATCTTTCCTTTTGTATCAACAATATTGAAATATATAACTATAGCTGTTATTTATACAGTAGTTGAGCTATTATTTTACAGTAGTTGAGCTATTATTTTACAGTAGTAGTTGAGCTATTCGAGGTAAATAAAAGCTTCCATAATATTTGTTCATGCTTATTGCTCCGGACCTTTATATTTCATTTTTGATTATACAGTAGATATGGTTTTTATCGTTATACGTACCTTACCGACTTTTTTAATATATTGTCAAAAAAAGTCGTCGAGTAAAAAAAAAAAACAACTGAGAGATGATCAATAAACTAAACTTTACGAAACACACTGTTTTTAATTAAAAATAGTATGGAAGTATTGGTATAAGTAGAACCATGGAACAAATTAGTTATTGCTCGGGCCCGGGCAGTAAATTCCCGGGCAATAGCATTAATTAAAAATTTGACACGGATCTGATGATCGGAACTTCCGATCATCAGATCCGTATCAAATTTTTATTCGCGGGCAATAACAATAACTTATTGAATAGTTAATGCAAAATCCATTAGAGTTGACGTTTTAAGTTGAAGAGAAAACATAATATCTGAAATTAATAAAGGTTTGAGAACTCTTACTCGAGCAAATTCGAATAATTAGAGTTTCGGCATCCCAATCCTAAAATCCAAACTACCCAGTGGCACCGACAGATTTTCATTGATCGACATCGAATTGACCAATTAGATTACAAGATCAGGTGTAACGTGTAAATCATGCGTTTTTTTAGTAACTCAAAATTTCGTCTATGTAACCTTCTTCTGTGCAAAATTTTAGTATAAGACAAGCCTCGTTATAATTGTAAACCTGACCCTAACCTAATGTAGTGTTTTATGACTTTAAAAAATTGCGCATATTCGTTGTTTTGATTGTCGATCAGTGAAAATCGGTCAGTAGTTGTATTTACCATAGTGGGTTAAAAATTTCAATTTAATGATTTTATTTGATTGTTTAGAGTATATCTAAAAGAGTTGTCGTTATCTTTTTCGAATCTCGATAAGGCCGTTCGAAGTTAATTTTTCGGTTAACATCACCCCCCCCCCCCCCCCCGCCGCCCCCCCCCCCCCCCCCCCCCCCCCCCCACCACCAGCCCCACCGCGGCCCCCCTCCCGCTCGCG